CATTATTTGGTGAAACATGCTGACAATTTTTTCCTGAAAGGAAGAGCATGATACTTTTAAAATATTTGTTAGAAAATTTCAAAAAGGTTTTGGAAGTAAGCTTAAAGCGCAGATTTAAATCTACATTAAAGTCAATGTTAAAGCTGTGTGTTTTTATTTATCAAGTTCACTTTTTATTTCCTCTCTCTGTCTCTATCTATTTTTTCTGATTTTCAATACATGTTTATCACGACGCACACATATTTCCGAATTTACCAGATAATAACTTGGTCAATACTGGACCAGTCTTGTTCATCAAACACTCACAGGAGATATAAAAATATCTAAAGCTTATTTATATGTTACTAAGATCGATGGTCCCTAGAATATCAAGAAACACAATTTTAAACAAATATGTACAGTTTTTCCTTGGCAGGAGTTACAATCCAGTTACTATATAATACTATAATACATATATATGGCGTGTGTAGAATTCGTGTCACGTCCTTGTGGGCCGGAGGGGAACACGTGGATATTGGTGTGTAGGTGACGGGAGTTCAGCGCCAAAATGTATTGTTGCTTTACTCATATTTGAGTCCGGAACTCTATAGTGATTTTTTTAAATCACGAATTTGCAATCAACTTTTGTATATCCAGCGTGTCATGAAGTGTGTTGTTTACATGATATCTTTTTATCAGTGTACTGACCAGAGACAAGAGTTCCAAAATTGATTTGTTCATTTATTTATTTATTTATTGAATTAATTTATTTATTTATCTATTCATTTATTGTGTGTGTGTTTGGTATACAAGTTTTCAAATGATTAGATCGTGTTTGTTTTCATGCTCTGTTGGGGACAATATACTTTCTAATTACTAAGCTTAGCCGTGCCAGCTTAGGTTCAGTACAGGAATCGTACATGTCCATTAGATCTAATTTGTAACTTCTCAACCGAGTTTAGTAACATTACCTTGTCGTATGTCGGTTAGACAAAATCTGTCCAGTATCTCGTTTGTCTCTGAGACCAAAATAAAACATAAACACACGTATTACAATAATTCATGTATACAAAATGGCATAGAGGTGAAGTAATATTTATATATACTGATACATGCTTACATACATAATGAAATGAAAAACATTATTAATGTTGATTAATGTATTCAATAATTTTGAGATCAATTAATTTCAGAATGCACTACAGCGTAAAGGATTCACAAGACATAATTCATGTTTACACATGACAGAGAAAAACAAACGAGACAATACTAATGTATTCTGATGTACATAAACAATGAAATGAAAACAAACATAATTGATTCCGTTAATTGATATATTTAACAATTTCGAGGCCAATTCATTTCCGAAAGCAGCACAATGTGAAGAATTCACAATATACATTTATACATTATACAGATCAAGTGTACAAAGTGAAAGAGAACACAACAAACACAATTTTAACATATACTAATACATTGATAAACAATTAAATAAACATCTATATTAAATCATTCCAGTTATGTAACAGCTTTGGTTTCTGAGTGAGTCTGTTGCCGCACACTTTTACACAGGCCCTGAAATTATGAGTGAATGGGTAAATGACATTTGAATCTTGTCTACTAATAATTCATTTAATGTTGAGTAGTTCTAGCCATTTTGTTTGCACTGGCAATATATGAGAACAATTCTACACTGTCAACATTCCATGGCTCATTGTATTCAACCTCCGAACTGTCCTTACAGTGAATTGATATTATCCAACAGTCATGATGTTGTCACAGATGCAATCATCAAACTGCAGTAATGACATCGTCACAGCCACCATTTTGACCCACAGTCATGACATTATCACGGCCACCATCTTAACCTACAGTCATGACATCGTCACGGCCACCATCTTAACCTACAGTCATGACATCATCACGGCCACCATCTTAAGCTACAGTCATGACATTATTACGGCCACTATCTTAACCTACAGTCATGACATCATCACGGCCAACATCTTGACCCACAGTCATGACATCATCACGGCCAACATCTTGCCCACAGTCATGACGTCGTCAAGGCAACATCTTGACCCACAGTCATGACATTATTACGGCCACCATCTTAACCTACAGTCATGACATCATAACGGCCACCATCTTGACCTAAAGTCAGGACATCATCACGGCCACCATCTTAACCTATAGTCATGACATTATTACGGCCACTATCTTAACCTACAGTCATGACATCATTACGGCCACCATCTTGATCCACAGTCATGACATCATCACGGCCACCATCTCAACCTACAGTCATGACATCGTCAAGGCCACCATCTTGACCCATAGTCATGACATCATCACGGCCACCACCTTGACACACAGTCATGACATCATCACGGCCACCATCTTGACCCAGTCATGACGTCGTCACGGCCACCATCTTGACCCACAGTCATGACGCCAGGACGTCCACCATCTTAACCCTCAGTCCTGATGTCGTCACGACCTTCTTGACCCGCACTCATGACGTCATCACGGCCACCATCTTGACCCGCTGTCATGACGTCGTCTTTCGTCTTCAGCAGTCAACCAACATACATGTAAAACAAGAGGCCCGATGGGCTGAATCACTCACCTGTTCAGAAGATATTTTCGGTTCGATAAGTGCACAATTTGTTTATCTGCACACCTGATGGTTGTTCCACAAGTATAACAACAACCCGGATACAATGATTTAGGGGCTACTGGTCATGCTGACCACATAGGTCATCTGACTACAAAGACAAGAATTTATAGCAGAGAGAATTATCATCAGTTTGACATTCACACTACTTTCAGCAAAGCCAAAAACTTGTAAATTAAGTAGTAATCTTACATTGTGTCCAGCTATGTCATCGTGGTGATTCATAGAAATATCTTCAATACTTAAGGAAAATATGTAATGAAATGGCATGTTTTTATTCAATGTTGACTTAACCTAAGAAATTACTTAATCCTTTGGTTATTGGAAACACATCTTCAATAAGCAAAAGTATTTTGTCTCCTACGGATAGCATACAGTGTACACGGTAGTCATATTTAGTGCGGACACGTCCCCCAAACAAATATACAGTGTGCACGGTAGCCATATTTATTGCAGACACGTTCCCCAAACAAATATACAGTGTACACGGTAGCCATATTTAGTGCGGACACGTCCCCCAAACAAAAATACAGTGTACACGGTAGTCATATTTAGTGCGGACACGGCCCCCAAACAAATATAGTGTACACGGTAGTCATATATATTGCAGACGCGTTCCCCAAACAAATATACATTGTACACGGTAGCCATATTTATTGCGGACACGTTCCCCAAACAAATATACATTGTACACGGTAGCCATATTTATTGCGGACACGTCCCCCAAAAAAATATACAGTGTGCACGGCAGTCATATTTAGTGCGGACACGGCCCCCAAAAATATACAGTGTACACGGTAGCCATATTTAGTGCGGACAGGTCCCCCAAACAAATATACAGTGTGCACGGTAGCCATATTTAGTGCGGACACGTCCCCCAAACAAATATACAGTGTACACGGTAGCCATATTTGGTGAAGTCACATTCCCTAAACAAATATACAGTGAACACGGTAGTCATATTTAGTGCGGACACGTCCCCCTAATAAATATACATTGCAGACATATTTTATGAAGTCACATCCCCCAACAAATATACATTGTATATGTATCAGTATGAGCACGTCCCGAAAACAAATATCAAAGGACCAAACTTTTTTTTTTCGTCTTGTCCACAAAGTGTCGCCCATGGAGCCTTCAGTTTTGGCATGAAATGTCCCAGGGGTGCAGAGAGTGAAAGTGATCGTAACCTCTGGATTATCGACGGCTGCCAAGTTATGCCAAAAGTGCAATTAATTCGAATTCTACTTACATATCTTCCATTTCTTGTTAGTAACCTACCGTCTTCACCTACCTGCAGTATGTCCATGTTTTCTTTGACTTGATTTCCAAGGGATTGTTCCCTATCCACGATTTCAATGGTATATCATTGGACAAACAATGAATTGCGGGAACTGTAGTGTGTTCAAGACTTTATTTTCATATATAATATAGATGTGATTTTATCTGATGGGAAATAATTCTTGTGAGGTAGGAAGATTGATATCTACAATAATCAATTGTATATTTTTGGTTTCGTTACCACCTCTCTGGTACTATCTTTGAGAACGTGACCTTATTTGAATTTGAGGCTGATTTCGATATTGGATGTTATTTACGAAACAGAAGCCGTCAAGATAATTTCCAGCAGATGTCTATTTGTAATTAGAACTAAACTTTTGTGAATCCCTCAAAATTAAAATTTTAACTAGATATCAAGACAGGTTTGAAGTTTTTTTTACTTCAACAAACCAGTGAAACATATCAATTATATCTAAGGAAAACAAAATACATATATAATATCACAGGTAAATATATTCGTGAAAATCCATTATTAATGCATTAATATGCCCTTTAATTACGATTCCTTGTAGTACTGTAATGGTCTGTTTAAATATATTTGTGATTCTGAATGGTCGAACTTTAAGATTTATAAGTGAATATTTCATAAGCCTCTCTGATCTGTCTATACTTCATAGTCCTGTGTCGACCTGTTTTTGTGGCAGTGAGTATAGGTGCCCGTGATCAAATGCTATCTACAATATTAACATATGTACATGCACGTTTTTGTTTCACCTTAAAAAAAAATACAATATCAGACATGATGTTCAATATTGAAAACCCGAGTAGTATACCATATTATAGTATAGTATAGTATAATATTTCATACGATATTTAGAATTGTCATTGGATAATTGAAATAGTTAAAAAGTGTAAAAATGATTTCAAAATATTAATGTTTCTTCGTAATATAAGTTTCTGACCAGTTGCCTTTCTTGATTAACAGATCTACATCCAACTGACAGTGACTCAATGAATAACTGGACTGGTAAGTCTGAAGTATGCCATTCAAACCGTCTTTGTGTTAACTAAATGCAGCGCTGCTTTTGACCTGTCGATCAGCCTTTTTCGACCACTGTGGTTTCCATCCAAGGTCATTGGGAAGCCCGTCCTCAAAATCATATTCATCAAGACCAACAAGGAGTCGAACTTCCTTTGTTTTGGCAATTTCCGGTATTTCATCAACCATTTCGATCTGACTTTTATGCTTGGTCTTGCTACATTCGGAAGTGCTCGCAAATATCCATACTCCCTGTGATGGCCAATGAGCTGTGGCAACCATCTTTTCAAATGCCTCTTTCTTTAAATCTAAATCCTTCTTGCTTGTCCATATTGCTGGAGTCATACAGACAAATGTGACAAAACGCCACCTATCGGAATGGAGACGACCCATTTCCGGTTTAACGTTATCGTGGACCGTTCTTGAGTCCCAAATAACCATGCCACCTTTCGGGACAGGAACCTTTTTTTCTCTGAGACCTTTATTTTTGTACCATTCTACGAATTCTGGTTTCAACATGTAAAAATCCTCACCGGCTGAGTCTTCTTCGGCTTCTGTGAATGTGTCAAGGAATTCTCTATGAACTCTGCATGACCCCTCGATGACCCGGAAGCAATAATCCTCTTCTGTTGTTTCTTCCAAGTACACCGCTCCTTGGAAAGCATGCAATCCTATTCGCCAACTACCCTGGTCAAAATGAAACCAATTTTCGCCTTTTTTGTTGAATCTAGTATTACCTGAGGAGGAAATTATAAAATGAAATTAATAAAAAGAAGCGGGAAGAACTTCGTATCACAAGGACATGCAGAAATAATTTTTGAAAAAAAAATTACTTAATGGTACATATCACCTATTAAACTCTACAAGCCTGCGTGTGTTTGACAAGATTAGTAATCTAATATTTCCGCACGTCGATTGTTCCTTCGATCAATTACTAAATAACAAACCTTTATAAAGGAAACGAGTGTTTTTCAACTCGGTTGGTAACTGCCTGGAAATATTTTGTTTCGGTGAGTTTGAAATAATTAAAATTAACACATTTTCCGCTAGCTATCCAACAAGCATAGTAGACAACAACAACTTTAAAATTCCATATTTACATGGAAATGTCATCTGATTAATTACCGTCTTCAATCATATCAAGAAACTGAAATGAATGGTGTATGGTGTGTGGTGTGCGAGAACCCTTCTGTGGAGAGGGCATTATTTGTAAGGAATTGATCCCTGGGTCCCAACCCTGGCAGTCTCAATTATCGCTGGAATAATAAAATATTTGTGTAAGAAACTGAAACCTTATCATTTAAAATTAGTGCCTTATTTGGCGTGGTGGATGTGTAACGAATTAGACGATGCATGCCTTTCCGAAACACCTGGTCTTATTCTTGTACTTTTTAGCGACACTGTAGACCTCTTTATCGAATTAAGATTCAAATAAAATGCTGATATTTTCTGTTGTTTGCCGTAAGTATTGCACTTTTTTTCCCCTTTTTTTTCTATTTCTTCTTTTAAACACTTCAAATATTTTCCGTGGAAATAATTAATTAGATCTACCACGTGTTAATTAATTTCTGACTATTGTACACCTGTCAGCTGTACGTGATCCGACACATACCTCTCAGCTGTAATGTGACCCGGGACATGCCTTGTGGCAAGTTATTTAATAATATAAATAAAAAAAACAACTAATTACTGTCGTAGTTCTCTTTGATGTTGCACGTGTGTATCCAGGTAGCCATGTTATGTACTCTATAGCGAAATGTACCATGGAAACATTTTTGTAGTACTGGATTTGAATGAAATCGAAAGCTTACCAAGTTCCGGGGGCTCTCCAATCGCCATTCCGTCCATGCTCGACAGAAGTTTATCTGTTCCCCATATTTTTGCGAATACAGGTTTGGCCTTGAGGCGGACTTCCCACGCCACAGGAGAGGCGGACACTCTGTTATGATAGATAGCCCCGTGGTTCAGTAACAAGTTTTCATACTAATATATAAAAACTAACCTACATAAGAACACAAGGAACATAAATAGTGATCTTAAACCTTACTAGCAACAAGAACAGGCTGAAAACCGAGTTGTTTTCCCGCATTCATTTCTTATTGGCCCAGTGAGTGTAGAAGTGCGTACATATACATCCCCTCCCCTCAACCCCACCCCCGAAAAAAAAAAACCGGATGCTGTGAATATTTTTAATTTTCTTCTCAAACCTTGTCGTCATTGACGAACTTTTTGCCCGCAGCACAAGAATATATGGGTCGTGGATTGGGAATTCGTGCCAAGTCCCTGTGGCCCATAGTACGGATCTAGCTTATTAGTAATGACACGACTATCAAACACCATCGAAAAAATTTGCGCAACCCTTCTGTCGTTTCTTGTCCACGACTCCAAATTAATTTATACATGTACACTTACATCAATACTGAATAGAATTCGCAATAAATAAATAAATAAATATGGAACTAACTATCAAAGCATTTTAAAACGTGAAAACATAATGAAATGACACAAGGAAAAGCAACATGAACCGTGAAAAAAGTGCATTTAGGTGAAATTCAGAACGAGTAAAGACATAAGATGTTAATCTACCTGTATTGTTGCGTGAGGGACAAGCGTGGGTCCAATGGCGAATCGTCAACAAACTTGTCCAGCCATTGTCTTATCTGACCAATCAAATCGTCACACTTTTCTGAGGACAGGACACCGGGCACAACTGTGTAGCCCTTCTCTTCGAGATTCTTCATCATGGAATTCCTAAAATTGTCAATTTCAAACGATTATGTGTAGTATCACGTATGCTAGAGTTATCTCCCTTTAACATTCGTTCATTCGTGAATTGGGACACATCTAATTTATATAATTAAATGCAGAAATTTGTACCTTTTAATTGTATCGATAAAACATTACTTATTGTGATTTTTATTTTTTAACATAGTGGAACTCTTTTTGGGAAGGAGATGGCAATGACATTAATCTTGCATATATCCTTAAATCAATGAAATCAGGTATCTATATCAAACAGTGTCTTATTTAGGTCTCTGAAAAAATCCACGAAAACTGGAGAAATATATATATAAAACAAATGGTATGATATATATATATGTAATTTTATACAATCTGTAATCTGAAATGGCGTTTTATGGTCGACTTCTAGCTTTAGAGGGATGGAGTGGGAAGCTGTGTGCCTCTGGTTAGAGCCCCGGTGGAAACTTTCGGCAATCTGTTTTGTGTAATGTTCAAGTGCATTACGTTATATTTCAATATCTACTCAGGTTGGACTCAATGAAACACCAAACTTAGCCTGTTTCATTTAAGCAATGGATCTTGCTTTTGTTAATTACATAGAATGATGTGTGAATTCATTTTTGTCTGAAGAGTAACTCAATTCATCGCCCCATAAACCCAAATAAGCAAGATTTCATGCTTAAATAAATCTAAGTGACATATAATAGAGTGACGTCATAGCGAATACATTCTAGGCGATGAAATCCGTCATCCAGACTGTATTCATATTGACAATACAGTAATTCGCGTTGTTTACCTCTGATTTCAATGTTATGTCATCCAAAATAAATGTTCAACAATTTTTTCTCGCAGATATGAATGCAATGTAGCACTTCATTTCAACAAAGGGGTGTAGGATGTTAGGAGAAACGGCGTATGTGATGTTTCACACAAACGCAGAGTTTTGGTGTTGAACATGAAAAAGCGTTTGTGGACACAATTGATCATTCTAAAGAGCAGCAATAAAGAATTGAATGGATCTTTGTGACGTCCCCGATCTCGATATAAATTAACCATTAAGTTAAACTTAAAATATTCCTGGCTGCCTTATGATAATGTTTCTTTTCCCAAATAAGGAAAAACAAAAAACCTCAACAATTTCCGTATCATTCCTATTAACGCTTCGCTGTATCCTCGTGTACAACTCACAGCCTGGGCTGCTGTGGTGTGAGTACTGGGGCTGCAAAATGAACAGGCTGAAAATGGGATTAGGTAAGAAAACGTTTCAATATTTTTGTTAACGTGATCCCATCAATGATTATTTCAAGCCTGACACAGTTTCGCTAGTCGGAGAAAAAAAAAATACATTTCAGTTTTGAAATGCGTATTTTTCTGGTAGCAATGACATGTGCGAATATAACTTGGAAATTGAATGATATTGATCGTGCATGGTGTATATCGTCTTATGTGTATGTATTGTGCTCCGGAAGCCGCAAGGCATTCTGGGTAGGATAGAACAAGCAAGAACTTTCACTATATATATTGTTGGTTTCTACAGCTTTTAAAAAAATGTAAACATGCATGATAATCAAGACAACTCCAATTACTGATATAAAATGAAAACTCTACCTGTCGAAAAGCGACATTCCTTTTTCCTGGCCAGGTGTATCCATGACAGCATGTATGGTAGTTCACCGTACTGTGTAACAACACCTTAAAATGACCCGAGGTTGCTGGAAACTACTAAAGAGTATAAATAGCTCACACGTCACACATGTTTACACAGTTTCAATAAAAATATATTTCCACACGTAAACAAGTGTAACTCGCGACACCAGACTGTGCTGTATCTTGGGTAGGTATCTTTTGAACGCGTTAGGGCCGTTTTCTGGTGGCTATATGGGTGTTTCTCCGTGTAGGGAGACTTATATTTAATCCCTTACTGTATATACCGAGTTTATCTCCATTAAAGACTATATTTCTCACGTGTATACAGACTTCTCCATGTAGGGAGACTGTATTTAATCCCTTACTGTATATACCGAGTTTATCTCCATTAAAGACTATATTTTTCACGTGTATACAGACTTCTCCGTGTAGGGAGACTTATATTTAATCCCTTACTGTATATACCGAGTTTATCTCCATTAAAGACTATATTTCTCACGTGTATACAGACTTCTCCATGTAGGGAGACTGTATTTAATCCCTTACTGTATATACCGAGTTTATCTCCATTAAAGACTATATTTCTCACGTGTATACAGACTTCTCCATGTAGGGAGACTGTATTTAATCCCTTACTGTATATACCGAGTTTATCTCCATTAAAGACTATATTTCTCACGTGTATACAGACTTCTCCGTGTAGGGAGACTGTATTTAATCCCTTACTGTATATACCGAGTTTATCTCCATTAAAGACTATATTTCTCACGTGTATACAGACTTCTCCGTGTAGGGAGACTGTATTTAATCCCTTACTGTATATACCGAGTTTATCTCCATTAAAGACTATATTTCTCACGTGTATACAGACTTTTCCGAGGAGGGTGACTAATCCCTTACTGTATATACCGAGTTTATCTCCATTAAAGACTATATTTCTCACGTGTATACAGACTTCTCCGTGTAGGGAGACTAATCCCTTACTGTATATACAGAATTTATCTCCATTAAAGACTATATTTCTCACGTGTATACAGACTTCTCCGTGTAGGGAGACTAATCCCTTACTGTATATACCGAATTTATCTCCATTAAAGACTATATTTCTCACGTGTATACAGACTTCTCCGTGTAGGGAGACTAATCCCTTACTGTATATACCGAGTTTATCTCCATTAAAGACTATATTTCTCACGTGTATACAGACTTCTCCGTGTAGGGAGACTGTATTTAATCCCTTACTGTATATACCGAATTTATCTCCATTAAAGACTATATTTCTCACGTGTATACAGACTTCTCCGTGTAGGGACACTGTATTTAATCCCTTACTGTATATACCGAGTTTATCTCCATTAAAGACTATATTTCTCACGTGTATACAGACTTCTCCGTGTAGGGAGACTGTATTTAATCCCTTACTGTATATACCGAGTTTATCTCCATTAAAGACTATATTTCTCACGTGTATACAGACTTCTCCGTGTAGGGAGACTAATCCCTTACTGTATATACCGAGTTTATCTCCATTAAAGACTATATTTCTCACGTGTATACAGACTTCTCCGTGTAGGGAGACTAATCCCTTACTGTATATACAGAATTTATCTCCATTAAAGACTATATTTCTCACGTGTATACAGACTTCTCCGTGTAGGGGGACTAATCCCTTACTGTATATACCGAGTTTATCTCCATTAAAGACTATATTTCTCACGTGTATACAGACTTCTCCGTGTAGGGAGACTAATCCCTTACTGTATATACCGAATTTATCTCCATTAAAGACTATATTTCTCACGTGTATACAGACTTCTCCGTGTAGGGGGACTAATCCCTTACTGTATATACCGAGTTTATCTCCATTAAAGACTATATTTCTCACGTGTATACAGACTTCTCCGTGTAGGGAGACTAATCCCTTACTGTATATACCGAATTTATCTCCATTAAAGACTATATTTCTCACGTGTATACAGACTTCTCCGTGTAGGGACACTGTATTTAATCCCTTACTGTATATACCGAATTTATCTCCATTAAAGACTATATTTCTCACGTGTATACAGACTTCTCCGTGTAGGGAGACTGTATTTAATCCCTTACTGTATATACCGAGTTTATCTCCATTAAAGACTATATTTCTCACGTGTATACAGTCTTCTCCGTGTAGGGGGACTAATCCCTTACTGTATATACCGAATTTATCTCCATTAAAGACTATATTTCTCACGTGTATACAGACTTCTCCGTGTAGGGAGACTGTATTTAATCCCTTACTGTATATACCGAGTTTATCTCCATTAAAGACTATATTTCTCACGTGTATACAGTCTTCTCCGTGTAGGGAGACTAATCCCTTACTGTATATACCGAATTTATCTCCATTAAAGACTATATTTCTCACGTGTATACAGACTTCTCCGTGTAGGGGGACTAATCCCTTACTGTATATACCGAGTTTATCTCCATTAAAGACTATATTTCTCACGTGTATACAGACTTCTCCGTGTAGGGAGACTAATCCCTTACTGTATATACAGAATTTATCTCCATTAAAGACTATATTTCTCACGTGTATACAGACTTCTCCGTGTAGGGACACTGTATTTAATCCCTTACTGTATATACAGAATTTATCTCCATTAAAGACTATATTTCTCACGTGTATACAGACTTCTCCGTGTAGGGGGACTAATCCCTTACTGTATATACAGAATTTATCTCCATTAAAGACTATATTTCTCACGTGTATACAGACTTCTCCGTGTGACTAATCCCTTACTGTATATACCGAGTTTATCTCCATTAAAGACTATATTTCTCACGTGTACAGACTTCTCCAGACTAATCCCTTACTTCTCCATTAAAGACTATATTTCTCACGTGTATACAGACTTCTCCGTGTAGGGAGACTAATCCCTTACTGTATATACCGAGTTTATCTCCATTAAAGACTATATTTCTCACGTGTATACAGACTTCTCCGTGTAGGGAGACTAATCCCTTACTGTATATACCGAGTTTATCTCCATTAAAGACTATATTTTTCACGTGTATACAGACTTCTCCGTGTAGGGAGAATGTATTTAATCCCTTACTGTATATACCGAGTTTATCTCCATTAAAGACTATATTTCTCACGTGTATACAGACTTCTCCGTGTAGGGGGACTAATCCCTTACTGTATATACCGAGTTTATCTCCATTAAAGACTATATTTCTCACGTGTATACAGACTTCTCCGTGTAGGGGGACTAATCCCTTACTGTATATACCGAGTTTATCTCCATTAAAGACTATATTTCTCACGTGTATACAGACTTCTCCGTGTAGGGGGACTAATCCCTTACTGTATATACCGAGTTTATCTCCATTAAAGACTATATTTCTCACGTGTATACAGACTTCTCCGTGTAGGGAGACTAATCCCTTACTGTATATACCGAGTTTATCTCCATTAAAGACTATATTTCTCACGTGTATACAGACTTCTCCGTGTAGGGGGACTGTATTTAATCCCTTACTGTATATACTGAATTTATCTCCATTAAAGACTATATTTCTCACGTGTATACAGACTTCTCCGTGTAGGGAGACTGTATTTAATCCCTTACTGTATATACTGAATTTATCTCCATTAAAGACTATATTTCTCACGTGTATACAGACTTCTCCGTGTAGGGAGACTAATCCCTTACTGTATATACCGAGTTTATCTCCATTAAAGACTATATTTCTCACGTGTATACAGACTTTTCCGTGTAGGGGGACTAATCCCTTACTGTATATACCGAGTTTATCTCCATTAAAGACTATATTTCTCACGTGTATACAGACTTCTCCGTGTAGGGAGACTGTATTTAATCCCTTACTGTATATACCGAGTTTATCTCCATTAAAGACTATATTTCTCACGTGTATACAGACTTCTCCGTGTAGGGAGACTGTATTTAATCCCTTACTGTATATACCGAGTTTATCTCCATTAAAGACTATATTTCTCACGTGTAGACAGACTTCTCCGTGTAGGGAGACTAATCCCGTACTGTATATACCGAATTTATCTCCATTAAAGACTATATTTCTCACGTGTATACAGACTATTTCTGATGTGTACAGACAGTCTCACTAGTGTACAACTAGTGTTTTGTTGTATTTACCATGATTCTTACTTGTATACAGCTCTTGCGTGTCTAGACGTTATTCACGTGTCTAGACTGTACTCACATAAGTAGCCTATTTTTCTCATGTATAGGGACTGCATTTCTCAAATGTACAGACTATTTCTCACGTGAGCGGGCTTATTTTTTCTAAAACAATATTTCTCGTGTGTATTCACTGTATTTCTCACGTGCCGACTATTCGTTTATAACAATATTTCTCGTATGTATACCCTATTTCTCACGTAAGCTGACTATTTTTTGTATAACTATTTCTCGTATGTAAACACTATTTCTCATGTCGATAGTCTGAGCATCTATCAAAACTGTTACTCGCGTGTATCAACTATTTCTTGTAAACTGACTATTTCTGGCAATTTTATAGCCATTCTATTAACTTTACTCAAGATAATCTGGTTCTTTAGAAGAATGATGTATATCACATTCCCCCAAGAAATGACGCTGATTTTATAAATAGGAACTGTAACCTTTGCCCTACAACTCAGGTGACCTTAGCCCTACAGAGAACAACCAACCAAATGATTTTACAGACTTCAGTGTTGATGTCCTGGGTTATATTAAAACTGTTGAACTCAATTTGGCTGCTATGATCTGTATCAAATGTTTAGGGTCTCGTATATGTAACAAAATGAGTAAAAAATGGATTTAATGGTAACTTTGGAATGGTATGTATCGTAGATAGCAGCATCTTAGTTTAAAGTACATCATGTCAAAAGTCAGTCAATGCTGGACCGAGGAAAAAAACCCGTGAGTGATAGGTAGTGATGCCAGTGGCGTAGCAAAACATTTTTAGGAGTGTATGCTTTCAAGAGAGGATACAAAGGGCGAAGCCCCAGTTAAGGGGGTCTAGGGGTGCAGTAAGTTTAAAAAAGTAGGGCAAATATATGGAATTCGAGTGTATGTTTAAGCATACAAGCATACATTATTGTTACGCCTCTGGATGCACGCCTGGTAACGGGCGGGGTGTGTACCCAAGTGGTGAAGCACCATGGCAGAATATCGCCAGTATGATTGATCAGGACAGACAGATGCTCTCTTTTGTATGCCTCGCGTTGGCGAACGTACTTGTAAGTAAACATGATAAGAAACAATGTATAAGGTAGATCAAAGATGGGAAGTTGATAACGGGTACTCCTAGTGCCTTCATAATTAGATGCTCCGGGGGATGGGTTGTTGTTGTCCAATAGGGACTAGGCTGAAATGAAGTATTTGGGTATTATTTATACTAAGACAATAGCCAGCAGAAGTCTGGTGGAGTCTGGGATCGAGTAGCTAAAGAGAATTGGGAGTCGGACGTGGAGACGGGCAGAGTCCCGTATGGGACCTGCTCCGCGATGGAGCGGGCCCTGGCCAAGTTGGCCCATGGACATTTGTATGGAACTTTTTGATATGGACGAGCAGGTGTTTAGTTTTGTCTGCCTTACACAGGTATTTATTTCTGGTGTCACGACATGCTGCTGTATGTTGATTAGGAACTATCTTTTGTAATGGATATTAACGCGAAGTACTAACTATGGAAAACCATTTTATGATGAAATAAACGTTTCGGTCAACCCAAGTAAACAATGTGTTACATATACCACTTCCATAGTGAAAATTCTCATTCTTAATTTTTCACCTATTAATAATATGAACTTATTTTGAACAAAAACTCGTATCAGATTTACCAATTTTAATATCAACATTATCTATGAATAATTACATATCAGGACACGCATCTATTTTGGAACTTCATGATTAACTGGCCAATCAGTGGTGGCAAGGCTTTTTCTGGGGCTCAATCAAATGGAGCCATTTCAAAAGGTCTGTTTTTCAATTGGTTGGATGTTCCTTACAACTCAAACTCATCCAAGATATATTGGACTGTTAGAAGGATAAAGTGATTTAGAATTGACAAGGATTTCCTGAAAATTGTAACCATGAATTTTTCCACGACATAATGATCTTTTATAGGAGTGTCAAGTTTAATCAAATTCAACGAATGAAGTTGCAAGAGCATCCATAAATTTGGACGTTATAAAAATACCACCCAAATATATGTGTATAGTTGGATATAACTACATATCCAGGGTAACGTCCCTATCCATACTGTCACAAGGGGATAATTACACAAAACATATAACAAAGTCAATGTGATAGGATTTAAAATGTTATATAAAAAATGCTTCATACCAATTCATATACATCAATGTACAATCTGTGTAGACAATGTTCAGTAACATGTAAGTCTTGTTCATTTGACTTTCAAACAAATACACATTCAAATTTACCCTCAACCTTTCAAATGCTAAACCTTTCTCTCTCTCAGTTACTCAAATATATGTATTGCATATCTCCACTCGCTCCAACACGCCTTGTGTATGTATACTCCACAGCTTACATAATTACCAATATACTTTGGGTTTATCACACCAGTCTCGCATATTACATACAAACAAAAAACAAAAATTCGAGTACCCGTACTGCATGTTTCATCAAATGATCCAGACCCACAGCACTTCAGTTAACACTTTTGGTCCTCGTGCTGTGTATAACTTCTTGTCACATCTCTTAATGCACTGCAATATTGCTTATTTAGCCATGAGTATTGAAATAACCACTCAGATTTCAGAACTTCAGTAGTTTAAAAAATGACTTAAAAGAATTGGAAAACATGAAACTTATGCTAAGTTCAATAGCACTTATGTACAGCCTTTTGACAATTTTAAAGGTTTGTTGTACCAGATAGTAAAAATAATGAGAACGGTAAGCTTCATATACAGCAGCTTTCTTACCTTCAGCATAACTTACCACCCAATGTTACAAGAATGATTAGGAAAACTGGCACTAAATCCTTAAAGACACTTCTCTATGTGCATAATTTTGGGAAAAAAGTGAAATGTACTTTGAATTAGTTATTGAATATAATGATATAATTCTTACATCTTGAGCTTGCACTCTTTGAGGGTGCACATATACCTTTTCAAGATGGCATTGTTGAATGGAACCGATAACAATAAAACATTATTGAGCTCTCCTCTTTCAGCTTTGTTGGTAGCACCATGTGAAAACAATAAATACAATTCTCCTATATAAGCTGATGTCATTATCCTGAGACAAACTGACTTCATTTGCTCCAATGATTTTCAACCATAAATCTTCAAAAGAAATCAACCTAATTTTGAATAGCAAGTCTCAAATCACTCCAATCACCTGTGTTGTGATCATAATCATAAATCACATATATATCAAAACATTGTCCTCCATTCACTGTTCATCACATTTCTTTGTACAGTTAATTTTTTTTTCTATTATATTGACAATCATCATCTGCGGTATTTGTCATAACGGTCTCTTGGTGACGGGCTGCGATGACCATTTCTGTGTCGTTTGTGGTGGCGATCTGGTGAGTGGTACCTATCCCTCTCATGTTTGTATTTCTTATGGTTAGACTTGTAACGATCTGGTGACCTGCTCAATGATGGGCTACGACTATTGGAATGGGAATGCTTCTTCCTTTTGCGGGAATGCTTGTGTTCTTTTGAGATGTAGCGATCTGGACTGACGTAGCGATCCTTCTTGTACCTGTGTGGAGAGTTCCTGTTTTTCCGTCTTTTCATCGAGGGGCTTCGACTTAAACTGCGACTAGACCTGGACCGAGAAGACCTGTATATAACAGAAAGCAACAGCTATAAAGAATATTGGTTTTCAAAGGTTCTCAGAGAATTTTAAATTAATAAGAAATAAATACTAAATATTGTTTTAAAAGGATAATAGAACAATCTGATTAAAATCTCTTAGTTCTGGGTTTCCAACAGAACTGTACCAACCATAAAACATTAAATTATTTCCTCTAAAAAATCAGAATTTAGCAATTACCGTTGTCTGCTTCTTGACCGAGATCTACTCCGATCATTCGGACTGTGGCTGCGCTTCTTCTTTGATGAATGATTTTTTCTAAAAATTAAAAAAAATTTTTTTTTATGAAATTTTACATATTGTCATCTTAGTTTCATAGAAGGGAGGGGGGGGGGGGGGGGGAAGGGGTGTGTGGTAACATGAGAGTGAATAATTTGCCATATTAATCTCCATGTCATTTTTCTTTAATTGATTATCAACACATTGTATATAAATACTTACATAGAACCCCTCTCAGAGTCTCTGTCATCTTCTTTGAGCCTTTTTATACTTGGAAGAAGTGCAGGGTTAGGACTGACATTCTTTGGAGAATCTGAAATGTGCATCACCACAATGAATGCAAATTCTAAACATCTGAAAATAGCTCTTATTTTCAGAAAACCTTATTCACTCTCTTTTTCTCTCCTGTGATCTCTTAAATTACCCTAAACCAACAGTGCCAGTGAGCCCTGCTATGAGATATTGAACAGAAGAAAATATTCAAAATACGTTGTAAATTTACAATCTACAGGTTGGACAACCTCCTGTTGCAGCCAGGACCTTTACAGTCCAGTTTATGGTGTAATACCCTGCTGTACAACACGTTTTCATAAGCTTCCATCAAATCAACTTCAAAGTTTCAGTTGAGCAGTGTCAAAATGGGTGACCAGATATCAGGTAGGTATTGAAATTATCTAGTAACTGCTGCAAGAGTCCTGTTCGGCAAAAGCTACTTTTCCCAATTCAAACTCCATATCCATACCTCATTTTGATGACTATATGCATACACATGAAATCTCAAGAGCATAAAGTTACTGTTTTTTTTCTTTTTTATATACTTAGTAAAACTCAGGAGCATGCATTTTATTTAATATTCTAGCCATGTATGCTTCGATCAAAAACTAGGCCATCACCAGAGATGAAAGTGGCTGGCATTGGAATAGGCGGAAATCCGCCGATCGGCGGAAAGTTTTCATCTCTGTTGTAATTCTACTATAGCATTCAAACGTTCAACTGATGTAATAGTTATCTTCCTTCGTATTTTATCGATTTGACAATACCGGAAACTCGGTGCTCGTAACTGCTCGATGTTTAATTTTACAGTTTAAAAGGGCATATAAATCGAAGGATTTAAGAACGGAGTTGAAGATTGCTTAAAAATAAAATGCATCATCAAGACATACCTAACCCCCCCACCCCTGAAATTGTTCTCACCGGATTTGCATCGATCTAAAAAATGACCAAATTTGTCATGAAAAAGGTGGAAATCCGCCGATTGGCGGAAATTTTTCATCTCTGCATCACACAAGCACTTGATTTACACCTTGGTGTCTTTATCTGTTCTAGCATACAAGTAAGAAACAACAGAAAAATGAACAATATTCTCACACCATGTTCATTTTATCCTGTCCCTAAGTACTGGGTGTAGGATTTGATACTTACTTGTTCGAGAGGAGTGGTTTGGTGTTCCATTCTCAGATGAGGCTCCCTTTGCCTTCATCTTGGCTTCTATCTGTATCTTTTTGGCATCATTCACCTTTGCCTCAAGTTTATCATAGTTTGGCTGAAATATAAGATAAAAAAAAATTAAGCAAGAAAATTGAAAAGTTTGATTTTTCCCCAGCTTTCAATTAAATGTACCATGAAATTTTGAAATAATACAAAAATGAAGGTAATCATTTCTTCTTTTGACTAAACATAATTTGATCTAATGAGGATCTTCAGGTTTTGGAAGCTGTGAAACTGGTACCTACCCGAGGACGGGCATAGAGACGTAGAATAGTGAGACAGATATCGCTAACATCCTCATCCTCCACACTGAACAAATAATACCAGGGTGGACTACTGGGCAGTGGTATCTATAAACAAAAGAAGCAATCAGCAATATATCTACATGTAAGTCTGGAGGCCTGTACTCGTAAATTATTAATGGGACTTGTATTTCTGGAAATCCATAAATTAAACATTGAGGGATGTATCATTTTAAGAAATAATGTTGAAAAAGAGCTCAGTAAAAGAAATTTTAGAATGCACACCAAAGCAATGAAAGATTTCAGGCACGGGCAGATAACTAACATCAACATTGGAGTCTTGTCTATCTATTATCGTTAACCTGACAGCATAGTATACATCACAAACAACCAAATTTTATCAGCTGCAAACCATATGAAGTGAAAATCGCTTTTTCATATAAGCTAAACAATGTGATGTATCATCATCATAGGCATCAACCTTGATAATAAAACACCTGATTTATTTCTTATTTTGATCCCTAGCTTTTCATATTTTTCCTGTTGAAAACTCAAAAGAAAGAATATTTCATCTTTCAAATTAGCCACGTATCCCATCAATTCAGGAGCATTTCATTATCTCCCCCCATGGAGTATTCAACAGACATCAAACCAATAAAGATTTCAATATTCTTCATTTTCTCTACCTTTGCCAATTGCAAATATATAAAATATCCAGTTACAGAATCATAACTGCATCTATCTGCAACAAATCTTATCTTTCAAAGTGGAATTTCAGATCACAGTTTCAATGTTCCAATAGAAGCAACTAAGTAATATGATTTCTATCAAAAATGTTTCCTATGCAGATGGGGAAATGGGCACATTGTTTTCTATGACAGAGGTTCAACTGTGTACAACATCTATGATAATACCAACCTGTAGTTGTCTGGCTGCTAAGTAAATACAGGCACAAGCTATAACCTCTGGATGGAACCGTACAAATACGTCTGTCCTGAAGCTATCATTCATATAGTTCCTACAAATATAAATCCTATCTAATCAACAAATCCTATATTTTGCATCGAGCTTCCATTAAGGATTAATTTCACATTTCATTTTTCTTAAAAGTGCAAAAGGATTTTTTCAATATTCTAGAAGCAATTCTGGTGAATACATGTATTTCGAATTTTTTTGATGCTCCTTTCATCACCCCTTCTACAGCCAGGATCATTTTTAGACGTGTCCTCATGCCACCTCACAGAACATGAGAGGCAGGTCTAATAATCATGGACAGGAACAGTTTGAGTGCACAATGGCCTGTTCCCTTCCTAAGAAACACTTACTGGCAGTCTGTTCCTCAGCTTCCCAAGAAACACAAAATGCGCGGAGTAAGGATTGTTAAACCACACAACCCAGATCTTCATCTGAAGCTGTAAAGTCCAACACTGTACTGTCTAAAGCATTCCCGAAGCTTTTTTCCAGCAACAGAGTGAAGAACAAAACCTCAAATGTATGAAAAAGTCTACACATCTAATTAATAATAAAGAATCATATGAAATCTCCACACATTTCATGAAAATGCAACAAGAGTGCAATGCACATGTTTCAATAACACAAAATACTAACCCTCATAGTTGAAACCAGTATCTGTTTAGGTAGATGTAAACTCCAGTGACAATTTTGATACCTTTACCACAATCAACCAAACAAAATAAGAAAAATCAAACTAAAAACAAAACAGTTGAACAATAAAGTCACCAGCCAACACTTCCTATAGCCACACCAATCCAGATGACCACAGCCATTATTTTTTCTCTTCATGGATGCTTTTCTTCAACTCAGTCCATACACATGTATACTGTTTTTAGCAAGCACAATTCTCCAAATGGTCCGGTGCTATGAAATTCCATTTCTGAAAGAATCTTTCATGATTATACGTAATTATTTGTGAACCTTTTTGGGCTTGATTTCATGCATTATAAACATTATGTGTATTCCATTTGTATCTCTCTCGCTTAAAAAACATTGAGATTTGGAGACAATTAAACCATCATGATGACTAGTTCTGGTGATTTTTATGTCTTTACAATGGTTTACAATTTCTATAGTCAGTGAAACCAGTTTACATAGCCTTGGTTCTACCACATGTGATCTTGAGTTGAGGAGGTTATGCACTTTTGTGCAACACAACACATTTCTCTTCTTCTTGTTCAGAGTTGATCTTCTGAGCTGGTGGCGGAAACATTCTGCAGCTGGTGGATGTTGGATGGTTAGCTCTTTAAGGCTGGTGAAGCCTGGTTGAGGCTGTTTTTGGAGGATGGTGCAATTCAACACATCTACCCACCTAGGCTGGGGTAGGCAAAAAGGAAAAGTACAGAGTTAATATCGGTACTTCTCTACTTCATATCTACACTTAACCATAAAAATATTTACCTGTGCAACTTTATAAAGCTGTTTCACAGAAGCTATTGAGTTGTAACATGTACACTACACAAGTCATCTTAATTTCTAGGGAACTTACATTTTTGAGTATGAAAACAAGGATATTAAAGGCACTAATTGAGTTGTAACTGAAAAATTACACAAGTCATCTTTATTTTTTTGGCACTTACATTACTAAAAACGAAAAAAAAAGGATATTAAAACTGTTACTTTTATAAGTATAGTAATACAGATATCATAAAACCCCTCACTTAATGAGAAAATAAATACCCAAGATATACACAGTTTTAGATGTACATTTAAAATTATACAATGTTGTAGAATAATAATAATAAAAAAATATCAATTCATAATAGTGACACGTCTATCAGTGATGGGCAAAAAAAATAAAAATAAAATGAAGTTAATCATCCGATATCTGATGCCAAAATTACAAATATGATTAATGGGTATGGTTTAGAAACGACTCGTGGTGTCTCAGAAATGTAGACATCAAGTGGAATTTCTTATATAAGTTGTTCATCTTGAGATGATTAACAATTTGCAGTCTTGAAATACAAATACTAAGTAAAGAAACAGATTAAAAGCTTCTAATAAACAATGATTTGAAAAATTTACAATAGTTTCAATGCAAGAAATTTACTACAAACTCTTCTGCAGTTAATTCATGAAACCAATTGTAATCAATAAATAATTGACTTGTGTTCAATTGTGAAACTGGAGTGAATTTCTATCCCCAATATCTATGAAGTGAAAAGACTTAATACAAACATTCTGATACTGTTGGATGCTTGTCTACTACATTTTTATAAAACTATTTTATGCTTGAATCACATTAATGTCACATCCTCCAATAAGTAAAATACTTTTCGTCTTCTTGAGTACTGCAACGATTCATTCAGAGAAAGCTTCTTTCCACATTCTTTTTTTCTTTAACCCCATTAAGAACATGGAATTTTACTTTTTCTCTCCTACTATGCTGTACAACTGAAGCTTTAACAAAACACCCTAAGAATTACTGTATCAATGTCTTTTTCTCTCTGTATGCAAGTTCTTTAAGAGGATACTGCATTTTCTATGACAATAACATTTTCTACACACTATACCATATACACCCAATGAACAATGAAAAAATCCTTTTGCACTTTTAACTCCTACATACAAGAATATCAAGGAAATCACACAGTAACTAGTTTGACAACAAGATCAAACAGGATAAACTTTATTCCTTATTTTTTCTCATTCCAAGGAGACTGTAGAGTAAAATTATTTTATTACGATAACAAAACTACCAGATTTCAATTTTGTCAAAATTTCTGCCAAGAATCAGACATTTACATTTATTAAAAGAAACTTGATAGCTTTGGTTAGAATAAAAATAACTGATCAACTTTTATAAAATATATTATCACAAGTATGATTTCATTTTATAAACACAATGGACAATTATGGTAATACGACAGTCTGTATAATTTCTAAAAAATGCCCCCTCCCCTAGATATTGTAGACCACCACTACAAATACGAAATCATGCCAAAGATTCTTCAGCTGCAATTTTTTATCTGTACATTACATATTTCATGGTGATGATATCGAGTAATACACCCAGGGAGCATTTGTTAGAAAATACAGTCAAAGTCGTAAATTGTGACCCAAGAGTTGGTTCACATTTGATACCTACCATGCACACTGCACCAACTTCTGGTCTCTCTCACATTCCAACACTTGCAGGAACATGACAATCACCTGGAACAAAGAAGTGTTACACAATACAATACATTTTCTAAACTCTATACTGATCTTGCTCTGACAAGATCGTAATTTACCCATTGCCTTCCTATGTGAGGATGAGACCTAAAAGCTGAAATTATCTTGATTTGACCTCCAGTCCAATTCCCGAGTACTTATTCTGGTTCATGTACAGTACAAGCAATATGCAAATGTACATTTCTAAATGAGTTTGTTCTTGTAGGTATAGCAAAATGTATCAAGACAGATAATGAGAAAAAGGGAATGAGCAATTATCAATAGTAGCACTTTACAAAAGTTTTGATCAATTAAATCTTATTAGTTATTTTAACATTGATTAACGCTTTGTGTAGGAACCAAAGGTATCACTGAAAAAAATTATGTGGTCACTGGTCATTAAATAACCAATAAAGTTGAATCAACTAATACTGAACTCTTACAACATTAATAATAATAATTAAAAAAGGATTGTCCTTTGCACTTCAATAGAACCTCAAGCAAAATATCCATTTAACTAGTGAAGATTCATAAAATATCAATCTTGATGTTAAAATGGCAAACTTTTAAAGACAGTGAAAAGCACTATTTACCTTGTGAGGGTTTTTGGCGTGAACAGAAAATCCCAATTCTTTCAGAACTCTTCTTTCAGCATTGTTTACTTGTTTTTTGAGGTTGATGTAGTTCTGGTCGAGTGGAAGAGGATGAATTGTCCTGTAACGACATAAACAAACACATATCCACCATGTGACAATAATACACTTTCACCACCTGTCAAGAGGAAACATGAAGGGTTTATGGATATGGTTTAACACTATTTTCTCTGCTACTGCACAATCAACCCATGATAACAACCAGTGACCATTGCAAGTTACGTCCACACTTTACACAAGTATTGCTCAGGGCAGCAGGCATTTATAAAAACTTGCTTGCCTGAACAAATAATGGTAACAATGAACTTCTGCTGCAACTATATTTTAACCCAAATGAAGACAAGCGTGTTGACACCAACTTGAATGCCAAGCTACGTCTGGCTACCATATTTGATATGCCTGTAAAAGAACCAGTAGTCAACAAATCAAGAATGAATTAGTAAAACTGATATCATTCAAGGATTTTGTAGATACATCTGCAACTCTCCTTTCCAAACAGCATATGAGCTTTCAAATGAAATGAGTGTGAAGATTGTTCATTTAAAATCCAAGTGAAATATTGTATTTCAGTCAATTGCAAAATAGCTGCATTTCCACTGTGCCCTTTTTAATGTACTGCTTCACTCCAAGCATCTGCATTAAAATATTTATCCCAAAAAAATCTCCACACCTCTCAACAGAATGTTGATGTCTTCTAATCAACAGTGGAAAGAGGTAAAAAACGCTATTTTCACATTTAGTCTGTTCTGTTGGCTATTTTCACATAAGTCTGTTCTGTTCATCATTAGGTTTCCTACTCTGAAGTATTTCATCCTTTAATATCCTTTAGTATTTTGAGGCCATTTTTAACCTAGCCAAGTAAGGAACTCCAAACACTGCAATCTGAAAAAACTATGATCTCATTGCATGACTAAATGTTTCTTTGCAGGAAAAGGGGAATCCCCTACTTCAGATTTCAAATATTTAAGAAGTCATATATTCACAAATTCTTTTCAAACTTCAAAATAAGCATTAAACACTGTACCCAGAGTATAAATATTCTATGGTAAGTGTCAAAAGGGCGGCAAGACAAAGACACCTAACCGTTATGATTATTACATGTAGTTTGGAGTAATATACCATGCCAGAATTATGCTAAAACCAATAAAAATTTTACCCACTATTTATTTTCTAAATATGGTACCCAAGTTTACATTTATAGTGTTTGGAAAACCATCAATATATAAATATATTCTATTTATTACAATAATATGGATTAAGGATATTTGCCCATCAGATGTATTTATTTAGTGTGTTCTATCCTGTATGATACAGGTCCGATACAGCATTTGTTGTAGCCACAAAAATATATGCAAAGCATACCATCACTTGATCAGTTGATCTTCACGAAAACTCTCAAGAATACCAGAAAATAATAAAATTGATATAAGTGTATTGTATTGGAGGTAAAGTGTATGTTTCAGCCCCTATTCAACGCTTTCCTTTTTAATAATAATGGTTTTCAAGTTTACTTTTTTGTCTCACTTCCATCAAATTTTATTCCTGTAAGAAAGTTAATACTCCACGTAAATTGAACTTAATCAAGCACTTTCAGTGAAACAGTAAATAACATCAGTTAAAGAAATAATCACCTAATAAAACAATTATAATAAAACGGAAATTTTCTCACAGATGGACATTTTACAGTAGTGACACAGCTTTTTTCACATTAACATGAAATTATGCAGTGCAAGATATTGTAAACTCTGAAGTTTAAGTTTCGATCTGAATCCTTTCAATGTTTAAGAAAAAGTCATTTATCTTGAAATATAAGTACACACACGCAAGATCTTGCATAAATAATAGAATTCCTTTAAATCCGAGATCTTTTCTCTCACTGAAAATTCTTTATTTTATATTTTAAGTATCAGTAATACCAGGTCCTTTTATAAAGCATCTATGTAAACAAAATTAATTGATAATTCTGATATCAACAAATCCATCACTACCTCTCTCCATAGTAACTTTTTCAGAAGTTTATTGCCTACCTTAAATTGTCATTACAAAATCAAATTTTGGTATGCAAGTAAGAAAAAACTACTATTCACAATTAGACCATTTTTTTCAAAAAGCTTAATATAAATCCTTTCAGAATGCAAGGCGTAATGAACACTGTCAGGAGCAAATGATTTACTTCTATGCAAACATATATGATGATGTGTAAAACTGAACTTATTGAAATCACAAATATATTAAACTATGACATCATAAGGTTTAGATGTTTCATAATATGCTTAAAAAATGTTTAAAAACTTACATCTGATATCAGTTGTTAAACGTCTGTAAAATTCCATCGAGCTACAAAATGGAGGTGGCCACAAAAAAAGTTAAAACCAGAAAATGATGGGACACTAATCATTTCCGTTGGAATCAGCAGCTCAATAATGAACATGACTAAAATTCACGCTCTAGTCAAAAGAATTGCAGTTAATCAACAAAAAGAGATATTTTTCTGTTGGTAACCCTATGGCCACTGGTTGTTGGTTTTCTTTTATTTGGTGAGGATCGTATACAAACCATCGTTACCATGTACCATGACAAAAGTGGCTGGACTTGCACCATACCACGTTGGCGTATCCTGGGTGGAAAGCCCAAGGTCACAGGTCAAGGCCACCACGCCAGGTCGAGCCCTTGAATCAAGTGCAGTTTCCCAGCAAGATTTGAGGAATCCAGGTGCTGTTTAATACAGCAAAGAGAAAATAGTGTTAAACCATGAGAACAAAAAACTTATCACAAATATCTCTATGATGGACAGCAAACCAAACCATAAGCATATTTTACGCTCATGTTGAATACACAATCAGATGCTTTCCAACATTTCATGCCAATCTATCAATAGTACCACTAAGAATTTTTACTTACATTTTTTGTACTATCCCTGATTAGAAACTTTCCAACTGACTGCAATTTCTGCAAAAAGCTCATCTTAATGCCACACAACAAAAGCAAATAAACACAAGATAATACCTTAACCTAGATATACAACAAGAGAAGATATGTAATGCTTACTTTTGATTTCGAACTTGTTTGATATGGTGGATTACATTGATAACATCTCTCATTCTTCTTGGACATTCCTCTATTTTGGATGCCAAGTAGATGCATGCCATGACAATGATCTATGGAAAGAAAAGAAAAAAAACCATCAATATTAAAATGGTTTATTTTGAAGCAATGAAGTGTTGATACACGTCTACCAATTTCAAAGACAGATAAAACATGAACACCATTTATCTCGAATACTAAATATTGATATTTTCCAACAGTGAGTGAGCTTACCTCCATATTGTGTTTGACAAAAGACTTGGAGTAGTAGAATCTCTGAAAGATGACCTGTCCTGTAGCCATAGCAACCTAAATGACAAATGCACCAAAAATATTATTTATTTTATGAAACAGTATGTAGAAATTGCAATTTTATTTTGCAATGCGAGTATGAATGACTATGACATCTATTTTAATTATTGGCATAGGATGATTCAAGAAACCTTTGATTGGCAAATTTCATTGCCTATAATAGAATATCAATCTGAAACAAAAGAAACAGCTTCAGACTAATGAATTCAAGTGGAAAATATCTCTACTGCACATTTGTTAGTCAAGTGGACAGTAAAAACAAAATCATCAGAACCTTTTAAGCCTACAAGGACTATACCGACAACCATTATTCAAATATAATTTGCCAATACTGATTTTCTTTTTCAGAGTTAAGTACACCAATACAAAATTTTACGGAGACCCACTCGGAAAGTTGAAGTCCCAGACTCAGATGTCCAAGCCCCTACATATTCCCTTGATGACATAGCGAATGGGCAGGATAAAAAGCTTTACACATGCAGGTTAATTATTGTGTTGGGAGGCCGCTACTGAAGTCTTGAAAGTTGTGGCACTTTTGACTATATTCTTTTCAAAAAAAAATCCAGGAAATAGTGGTTTGAGGGAAGGAGTTCTTAAATTATTGTGTTTTTGCTGTTGGAATTTGGTATTTCCTGATGTGGTTACATGTATAATAGGAAGTAGAAATGAAAACACTCTGCCATCGTTGGGGTTCAAACTAGCGACCTTTCGGTATTTACCAGACACTCTATCGCTCGACTAAAGGGAAATTCCCACTAGCGCAGGCTAGTAGGACGCTTTTTACT